AAAGTTTGATCACTGATACCCGATATGATCTTTCCTTAACCTCTGTAGAAGTGATCTCTGAACGTAGAACCAGGAATAAGCCATAAGCACAGTCAAATGTGGACTCCAAGCAATGAAGAACAACAAAAAAGAATGCTAATGGAAAGATAGATAGATTGATTGATAGATAGCAATAAATAGAAATATAAAATTGTCCTGATGTCTATTCTTTAACAATTACAATGGGTGAAATGAAATTATTTTATATACTGATGCTCGCAGCCAACACGGGTTCAATTCCTCCGCCCCTCTGGGAGAGCCCGGCAAGCTACCGAGAATATTCTGCCCACACGGCAAAGCCTGGCAAGCTCCCCGTGACGTATTCAATATGCCAAACACAGTAACAACAAAGTCTCACAGTGGAGACGTTACCGGTGCCCGCTCAAGCAAATCATTGAACAACAGGATGACAGTGCTACAGTGCAGTGCTACAATGGGTTGATTTATGCAGCAGTGGAGACATGCCACTCCATTTGGAGTTTAGCATTATAGAAGCTATTCATGAGTTCTGTAGAATAAGAAAGGGGCAAATCAGTGAGTCTGTCAGAGTGTAGGTGAAAATATTGTTATGAGAGGAAGGCTAAACATGCTGAATAAAAATAAACAAACAAAAACAGTGAATTTATAATTAAAATTATTTCAACTTAAAACTTGCAGTCCAATAAATATGCTATCAAATAGGTGTTATAATCCACCATCCGTAATCACTTTGACTCCAGAAATTGCTGGTGGGATGTAGAAAAAAAGTAATTTGAATGAAATTGAACAGATACACATACTCACCCCTGCTCTGTTTATGCCATGCTTTGTGCTTTTGAGAAATTTACAGTTTCCTTGATTTTCTTCTGGATCTTACATGTACATGTAAGGATATTTGCTTTAGTTTTTTTTGTGTGTGTGTGACATTTTGGCCCACACACATCTGTGCTGAGAGCTCACTCCTGGGTATGAGCTTGGGGATAACTCCTGGTGTGACACGCTGGGATAAAACGTTTGGGGATCACTCTGTGTTGAGAGTTCACTCCTGGGTATGAGCTTGGGGATCACTCTGGGGACATTGTGACATGCTGGGATAAAACGTTTTGATTTTGTTTAAACTTTCATTATGAAACATAAGACTTGCTGGATCACTGGTAAAAATGTTGGAAGACAAATTCAGTCTTCCAACATATTAACAAATGCACATCCCCACGCAGAACTCTCTGATTTTATGTCCTCATAAGTAATCTTGAAATTCCTGTTTCTTCACAGCTTTGTCAAAAGAGTAAGGTGTAAAACTTTCAGTGAGAAACATTATCATTGTAGTCTTAATTTTCATTGTTGTTACTAGGAAAAATATTTTATGAGATGATTTTTTAATTTTAATAAGTTACTCATAGATAGTGGATTTTCTATAAAGTATTTCCTTTGTTAAACATTCTATGTACTAGACATATATTAGAGATATTTTCTTTGAATTATTCAAGTTAAATTAGAAACATTTATCTTTCTATTTTGTAATAATGTTTTCTAGTCAATTATTAACTGATGAATAACTACACACCACAAAGCTTAAAGATTTAAAACAATTTCTTATCATCTCTTAATTCTGAAAGTTAACATGGACCAACTGAGTGCAATTCTTTGTTTTCTTTTCCATTGAGTAAACTCTTTATTTTCACTATTTCATTTATATCTAGCTATGTATTTGTTAATGTGCTCAATTATTTTATTGAAGTATTTAGTAAAATTATTGCAATCACTTTACACATTTGTGTAACTAAGAATATGAGTTTTCTCTTTAGAATGCTAAATACGGTAGATTCATCAATGAATTAGTTTATATTGCAAGAATAAGTACTTTTATTATATATATGGATAACATATTTTTATGTACTTATTATGTGAATTATTTGGCAATAAGATTCACACTTGAAATTGACCTCTACAGTCGTTTTTTGAAAGTTTTCAAAATTGAAAAATTATACTCATAATGTTTCATTGTATGGATTTTATATTACATTTAGGTATCAGATAAAATGCTTATGGAGCAGAGAGAGTGCAGATTGGAATTGTACTTAATCTATAGAATAGCTTAGGTACAATAGTCATATTAACAATATTGATTCTTCAAATCCATGAGCATGGAATATTTTTCCACTTACAAAAACCTTCAATCTCTTTCTTAAATGAAATTAAAGTTATCATGACATAGATATCCCATGTCTTTTTTTAAAGTTGATGCCTAGATAATGGATGTTTTAGAATTAAATGGTCTAAAAACTCATGTATTTCTCCTCTGATTTGTTTTTTGTATATAAGTATGTGATTGGTTTCTGTGTATTGACTTCGTAGACACTTTCTTCACTCTGTTGAGTCTAGGAGCTTTATTGGGCTTTTTAAGGTCCCCTATACATCATGTATTATACAAACTGAAAATTTGACTTCTTTTCCAATTTGGATCAGTTTTATTTGCTTTTCTTGTCTGGTTTTATAGACATGACTTCTAATACTATATTGAATACAAATATATACATTGGGCATCCTTGCTTTATTTCAGAGAGAATGCTTTCAGTTTTTCACCATTAAGAATGACCCTGCAGGGGCTGGAGCAATAGTACAGCAGGTAGGGTGTTTGCCTTGCATGTTGCCAACCCGGGTTCAATCCCCAGTATCCCATATGGTCCCCCAGGAATCGCTAGGAGTAATTCCTGATCTCAGAGCCAGGAGTAATCCCTGAGCATTGCTGGGTGTGACCCAAAAAGCAAAAAAAATAAAAAAGAATGATCCTTATCATAGGTGGCCATTACCATCTTGAGGAAGTTCATTTCACCCCAAGTTTGTTGAGATTTTTTTCATGAGTTGATGTTAGATCTTCTCAAAGGCTTTCTCTGCATTGCTTGATATGATCATGTTATTTTTATCTTTCCTTTTACTGACATGCTATATTATGGTAACTGATTTGGTATACTGAACCATACTTGCATCCCTCAAATGAATCCCATTTGATTGGGTTACATGACAATTTTTTTTATGTTATTGAATTCAGTTAGCTAAGATTTTGCTAAGGATTTCAGGGAGATTGGTCTGAAGTACTCTTTTCTGGAAGAGCATAATGTTAGCTTCAGAGAATACATTAGGAAGGATTCCTATGTCTTTAATATTTGGAAGAGTTTGAGAATTAAGAGCAATAAATCTTCTTTGAAAGTTTGAATAGTTCTCACCGGTAAACCTGTCTGGACAGGAACTTTTGTCTTGGGTAGATTCTTAGTTACTGTTTATATTTCCTTAGTTGTAATTGGCCTTTTTAGGCTTTCTTCTTCCTCCTCATTCAGTCAGCTCTGGGAGATTACACAACTTTAAGAATCTGTTAATTTCTTCTGGGTTCTCCAACTTCAGCACATAAAAGTTGTTCATAGTAATCTTTTATTATATCTTGAATTTCAGAAGGATCTGTTGCAATTGCTCCACTTTCATCTCTGCACTGATTTTTTTAAAATATTTTCTCTTTTTTTTCTTTGTGAATCTAGCTAAAGATTTATCTATGTTGTTTATTCTTTGAAACCAATTCCTGATTTCATTGATTTCTTTCAATTGTTTTCTTGGTTTCTATGTCGTTAATTTCTGCTCCAGTTTTTATTATTTCCCTTTTTCAACTCCTTTTTGGATTGTTTTGTTGTTCCTTCTCCAAATTTTGAAATATATTTTTAAGTTTTTGATTAGGACTTTTTCTTCTTTCTTAGTGTATTGCTATACATTTACCCTTTGTATAGTTTTTGTTGAATCCTGTAGATTCTGAGCGTTTGTATCTATATTCTCATTCGTTTCAGGAAATCTTTTTATTTATTCCTTGATTTTCTCTTTGATCTAGTGGTTATTTAGCAGTGTTTCATTCAGCTTCCAAAAGTTAGAAGTTTCTCCCATCTTCTTTCTGTGGTTATTTTCTACTTTTATGGTATTAAGGTCTGAGAAGATACTTCAACTTCTATGTTGGTAAGTTTATGTAAGATTGTTATGCCCTAATATGTGATCTATCCCGGAGAATGTTCCATGTGCACTAAAGAATGTTTAGTCTTGTTTGGGAGTATAAAGAGCCCTTTATATTTCGAAAAATCCGAGTTGTTTTAGTTCATCTTTTAGGGCTCATATCTCTTTTCTGATATACCCTCTGGTTGATCAGTATAGTGGTAAAAGTGGAGTGCTGAAGTCTCCCATTACTATTGTGTTTTTGTCAATGTGTTTCTTTAGGTTTGTGAGTAGAAGTTTTATGAACTTTACTGAGTCTTCATTTGGTACATAAATATTGATACAGTATTTCTTGATCTATTGTTCCCTTAACCAGTGAGTTGTGTCCTTCACTGTCGCTGTGTCTAGTTTCTATCTTTGCATTAAATGTTACTTGGTCTGGTATAAGTATGGCTATCCAAGAATTTATGTGTGTTCACGTGACTTCTATTAACTCAAATGATTATTTTTCATCCTTTCTGTATTTGATCTTTGATTTTAGGTTAGGGTTAATGTAATGGACTTGAAGGGGATTTAGGAAGTGATCATGACACAGGGGTAGCACGGAAGAGGTTAGGATGCACCTAGAAGAGAAAGAGGCCAGTATCAGTATTGTGGTACTGTGGGAGAATGTCTTCGGTTTGAGAGAGGGGTAGTGAGGATTTCCTTGGTCCAGGGGACCCAGAAGGAAGCCATACCAGTTATGACCTGTTTTTACATTTTCTTTAGTACGTTGTAGCTATTCTACATTTTTCTATTTTTCCTTCTATAATTAGCTGGCCTAAGTTTACAGCGTTTACTTAGCATGATTTTGATATTTTCTTCTATATTTTTAAATTTTCCTTTAGGTGTTTATATTTATTTGTACTATGTGATCTGGTTATTTGTTCACATGAAAAATTAACTGTTTTGCTTTGAACTTATTACAGATATAATTTTCATAACTATAACTAACGTTCAGGTGGTTTCCTTTTCAGAATGTTCTCCTCATCATTATGTCCCAGATTGCCGTTTTAATTGAACATGTCAGAACAATGGAATTTGTAACAGGTTTTCTGGAAGCTGTGAGTGCCTTCCAGGATACTATGGAATACAATGTGAATACGGTAAACAGAGAAAATGGGGTGGCCTATTGTGGTGTTAACAAACTTTGATTTTAGTATGATTTTAAAATAAAAATCTGAATTCAACATGATATCACATTAGACAAATGTAAATATTTTATTTAGCGTTTGTCTTATAATATCTTATAATGGGCCGGAGTGATAGCATAGCGGGTAGGGCTTTGGCCTTGCACGCAGCTGATCTGGGTTTGATTCCTCTGCCCCTCTCGGATTGCCCGGCAAGCTACCAAGATTATTGCACCCGCACGGCAAAGCCTGACAAGCTCCGAGACATATTAGATATGCCAAAAACAGTAACAGCAAGTCTCACAATGGAGACGTTACTGGTGCCCACTCGAGAAAATCGATGAACAACGGAAGGACAGTGACAGTGACAGTGATCTTATAATGTATTTCATAGCTGTAATGAAAATTTCATATGTTGACAGTTGCTCTTATGAGGTCATTGGATTTGTGTATTCTTCTTGGTACAGCTGCTTGAGAAACAATTTTATCATTCTATAATTATCTAGAGTCTATATTACTATATTTAGAGTTATCTAAAGAAAAAGACAGATACACTCTGTAAGATAGAAAGTAATCAGTTTTTAGTCTTCTTAAAATTATTCTTATTTCTATAGCTTCTTGTAGTCAAAATTAAGACAAGAATTGTTTATCTGTTTTATCTTAATCTAGGATTAACTCTGAAAAATATGCCTATAAATTTACTTTGGATATATTTATTTATATTGGTTCTTTATTAGAACTCAGTATGTTCAATTAGAAGTTTGGAAAACACAGAATCATACAATAATTTGTCTTGGACATTGACTAACATCAATTTAAAGCACTTAAGAGGTTAATAAACCCTAAAGAGATTGAGGTTAATATGTGAAAATATAGAATTAGTGATATCTGACCTATCTTGGCCATTTAAATATATCTAGACTATTTTTATAAATTTCATGATCTGTAGAACAGAAATAATAATAATAATATGCAATATTTACTTTTTCAAAGTTGTCATAATAATATATTTGTAAGCATTTAGCAGTGAAGAATGTGACTCCCCCCTAAATATGAGTATTAATAGATGACAAATGTTAAAGCACCTAAAGAAATACCAGCAATATTTAAATTTGTTTTCATTTGTTTCAACCTGTTTTAATACTGGTAAACTTATTTCACAGAATAAAATTCTACACCATTTCAATTCTAACCTATTAAATTTTCAAACTTGTGTCAACCAATCTGTGGATTCTTGGGTTGGAAATGTGGAAAAAATATCGTTTATTTTTTGTTTCTTTGTCTTGATTCTAAAATTGTAAATAGCTGCATGAGGTTTAAAAATATATATATGTATGTATGTACATATATATGTATAAATGTTTACTTGCATATATATGTTTCCAAAATGCAAACACTTTCTACTTTCAGTGTGGTAGTGTTATGGGGGATTCTGAACTGTCAAGAGACCTTACTTTGGTGAAATAAATCTCCAAAGTGTCAACGTAGTAGTTATCATTGGAAAAATGATGTGTCATTGTGAGAAGCTATGCAGTATACAATTTTAAAAATCTACACTTTGCAGTAAAATGTATAGTAATGAGCAAATATATGTTAAAAGAGCATTAATTGTATTTGTTGATTATTTTGGACTTGGAGAGGAGGAAGACGGAGATTTCTCTCTCTTCTAAGAGAAGGAAACTAGACTGATAGTATTGTTTAGAGAAGTGGAAAAATCAAGAAAGATATCTTTATGAGCTTTTGTTGGGATCGGGAATTCCCTAGCCCTGGGAGGCGCAGAGAGACCAGATAGACACAATTCCTGCAGGAGTAAAAACGGGGTTTATTTAGACCAGCATGCTGGGCTCCGCAGCATACCCCAAAAATGGGCAGTGGCTGAGAGCCCCGAACTTCTTCAAAGGGGATCTTATATAGGCCTTCACTGGCCGTTACAGCAAAGCCCGCGCATTTCATAGCCAATAGATTTGTAACAACATATACTTTCTTAACCAATCCGTTTAAAAGTACCTCATCCTTAACCTATAGATTCAAAGATCAGCATTTATGTACATCAATTGTCAGCACAAGCGAGGTTATAGCCGGAATCATTAAGCCTTAGGTAATCTCCCTTGACCATCCTCATTTTGAGTTACCCAAGTCTGCAGGGTGCTTTAATGAGACAATACATTCCAGGAAAGGGCAATTTCCCCCAACCACCTGCATCCTGAGTTATCCTTTACCCAAATCTGCAGGGTGCTTTACTGAGAAAATACATTTCAGGAACAGTAAATACACCTGAATCCTGTCACACTTGGTTTAGAAAGAAGTTATGCCCTGTTCACTTTCCAAGTCCCCTCTCCCCCAGGTGCAAAGCAGCCAAGCAGCTTTACAGAAAGCAATGTTGCAAGTTAGCTGAAGTACACAAAAATTTGATGCCCTAATATGGATTCTTTCACTTTGTGTTGTGGGGGTGTGGGAGAGAGTACAGAAGGCAGAGCCTTTGACTTCCATGTGGCAGACCTGAATCCCTGAGTGCAGATCCAGGAGTAATACTTGTGTGACTTGAACTGCTCACGCCCAATAAAATATTTTGTTTTGTGTATAATTCAACTAAGGAGTGCAAAATATTTTGTTGCAAATTCTTAATGAAAATTATACAAGACTAAACAGATGAAACTGCAGAGTCTTCTGTTGTTCACTTTTTAAAATTTTAAAATAAGATTTTTTATTGGAAAGCCACTTTTTATAAAAGGATGTCTTTCTAATCCCTTTTGATTGATTCTCTTTTTTTTTTCCTTAAGTGTGATTTTTCTCTTAATGTTATTTCTGTCATAAGTAACTCAATATTTACAGGATAATGTCATCCACACACAGCCTCGGCAAAACCAACTTTGAATTTCTAGGGATGGGACATGTGAGATAATAAAGGTGTAAAGGAGTAGGAAGGCAGAGAAAGGGAGAAAATTGATAACTTATGGATGAAAAAATTTCATAAATATCCATTCTCATTGGTGAGCGTTAGGCACAGTCACAGAGAAAATTCAAGACAGGAAAAAGGAATACTGTGTGTGACCTCAAACTTAGCTCTCACAGACATCTCTGACAGCCTTCATAAGGAAATTCTCCCAGCATTGGTGACAGTTCTAGCATCCAAAAAATGCATTTGTATACAGTTTCTAAATGACTGGGAAAGACCACTTACTCCTAATTACTTTTAATGTTCAATCACAAAAATAATGATTTTTTTCCAACCAATGAGGAAAAATATAGTATTGGATTCTAAGGGCAAATTCAATATTGTGCTTTACAGGTCATGAAAGAAATTTTTCAGAGATTAAATTTTATAGAACTTAAAACCTCACTTATAAAACGTTAACCCAATGTATATTTATTATTTTATTTATTATTCCTTTTCTCTTTCCTTCCTTTCTTTCTCCTCTTACTCATACCAAGAGCTGCCATTTCTACTAAGGAATTCAAATGCCAAATCTATATGAATATCTTCCTTAGATATTCTCTTATTCATTCCAAAAATCAAATTGAAAAATTACCTTTATAAAATTTAGATTGGATCTAAGTTTGAAGATATTGCTCTTTTAGGAATTTTTAAGATATTGGAAAGCATTGATTGTTGGAGTACATGGAGCTTAGGTTTATCAGGTTGCACCCATCATAGTGCTCCCGAGTCATTCCTATTACTTTGTCTGTCTGTAACTACTTCTATGCTCTCTTGCCCAACCAATTCGGAAGGTCTCATCCTTCTTATGATGTCGGTGGGTCCCATGGGTGACTTATGTGAAGTGGGGAGGAGAAAGATGGTCACTTTCTCCCCACCCGCCTCTGCCACCCGGGACCCTGGGTAGGCTAGGACCGGTAAAGTCTGCAGTGAGCACCTGCTCGGCATGGGCCTAAGCCCCGCCAGCCCCACAAGGTGGCCGTCAAGCCACACCTGAAGTCCGCTTGATCTTCTCGGCACGGGAGTTAATCCCCACCACCCAATTGCTCGGGGAGCCACGGACTCAAGTTGGGGCCAGAATTCGCTCTTTGCAGGAAAGGAGAGACCAGTCCCAAGCCTTACCCGAGGTCTCTGGGGTTCTTGTCCCACTCGCAGAAAAGAATTTCAGGAGTAGACGAGCAATGAAGTAACAGGTTTTATTTGGAGGCTTTTGGAGAGGGAGAAAAAGGGATAAGCAGATAATAAGAGAGAGAGAGTAACGCGTCCAGAGGGAATGTGGGCTTCTCCGAGGGTGGAGAGAGCCCCAAGTGGACTCTCGAGCTGGTTCTTATAGATCCTTCTGACTCGGAATGTTCTGGAATCTCCTTGGGGCTGGGTCACTGGAGTTAACCGGATTGAAAGGGGGGTTCTCGGAAAGGAGGAATTTCATGGGGAGGAGGCCCATATCTTCAGGGTCTGGGGATGGTCTTATCAAGTCTTTATTCTCTGTGTCCACAGGGTGGGTCAGTTCTAGAATTCTTCTTCTATGAAACTTTGTTTCATTGCAGAGAGCCTTTCCCTATCTACCTGCCTACATCACTTAGACACTGAAGCTGTACTGTAAGTTAATATTGCCTTTCTCCTCTCCTTATGTCTTTTGAGCAGTTTACTTTAATGCAATGTCCTTTTGTATAGATACAGGAAGACAATTAATTAATATTATGCTTTATAATTTAGGAATTGATTGGCTTTGAATATTATTCACTCCTGGGCATCTGCCTTCTCAACTTAAGCTGTTGGGATCGGGAGTTCCCTGGCCCTGGGAGGCGCGGAGAGACCAGATAGACACAATTCCTGCAGGAGTAAAAACGGGGTTTATTTAGACCAGCATGCTGGGGCTCCGCAGCATACCCCAGAAATGGGCAGTGGCTGAGAGCCCCGAACTTCTTCAAAGGGGATCTTATATAGGCCTTCACTGGCCTTTACAGCAAAGCCCGCGCATTTCATAGCCAATAGATTTGTAACAACATATACTTTCTTAACCAATCCATTTAAAAGTACC